ATGCCTAAACTACCCTTTGAACCTCCTGAAATTACTAGCCTCCATTAACTACACCACACTTTCTAACTGACCCTGGTTCAAATAACTATCAACCAGCCCCCAATCCAATCCTAAATTCAAATAACTTCTGATTTTTGGATTAATAACTACTAATAACAAGTCAAATTAAAACAGTACTCACATAGTATTGATTAAAACTGTAAGCAGCAAATTCGACACACACACAGTTAATAGAACAACTTATTCATGAAGCCTGGAGAAGATTTAAACAACTAAAACCTAAACTAACCCTAAGCATGATTAATCCTAATCCTAAAGAACTCAGTCACAACTAAATTGACAAACGACCCAATTATTAATTAACAGACAATGAAGAATAACAAATAAGAAACATGCTAATCTATTTGACCACTGGTTCGACCAAAAATGAGGAAAAATAAACTCAAACCCTAAATTGATTGCTCAAAAGGAAGTATCAGTCAAAAGGAAAAGACTAACGAAGGAGAACGAAGAAAACTTACTTAGCTTGAACACTTGACTGATTATGGGGTGAGCTCTGACCGGTCCTTTGTTTGAATCCTCCGGGATTCTTGACGCGTAACATCCCTAATCGTGTGTTTTCCAAAAGAACACACATGATTAGGGAAGTTATGGTCGAAAATCCCCAAGATTTTCTAATTTAGGGTTCTGCCGGATTTTGATCGGATATTTGGGATATTCTGGCCATATTTGAGACACGTGGTTTTGGGGGTTGGATAGAGGAGGTCAAGGCGGTCCCATGGTGTTAATTTGGGACCGTTTGGCATAACCGGCGACTTGGCCGGAAAACTTCGAACGGATATTCGACGAGTTCCAGTAATATTTGAAAGCAAAGGACAGTGGATTTGGGTAGAGGAGGAGAAGGGGAATCTGGGGTGTAATTTTGGGGTTGATCGGAGCATCGCCGCCGGCGGCGACGATTTCCGGCCGGCGGCGGACGGCGGAGGGACGGTGGCAGATGGTGGGGCTAGGGCGGAGGACGCCGGCGTTACAGGGGAGGTACGAGGAGGATGATTTTGGTCTCAAACTTTTCTGAAGATTTCGGACACTTATATCTAAAATTTGAGATTAAAGCTGGGCCGTTGGATTAGAGTGGGTAGACGGCCTAGATTTGATTTGGTATTTAACTCAAAACGACGTAGTATGCTCCTTATACTACGTCGTTTTGTTGGTCTCACAGGCATGGGCACCTGGACCGGGTAGAGGTGAACTGGGCCTGGACGTGGAAATTGTTTGGGCTACCTGATTTTAGCCCAAATTTGGTCTTTACTCAAGACCAAATTGAATTTTTTCTTTTTCCCTTTTTCTTCCTTTATCTATTTTTGTATTTTTGTATTTATTTATTTTTTCTGATTTTATAAAATGTTAAAACAAAGCAAAGACCTAATTACACTATTTAACTGCTAAAATTACCTACAATTCTATTTAAAGACAAATGCAATAATTAGTAATGCAAAGAACTATTTTCTTGCAATTTTCTTTACATTTTATTCTACAACTAATTAGTACTAAAATTGCAAAATTAAATCCCTAAATGCCAATGCATATTTTGCTATTTTCATATGGATTAAGATGCACAAATAAAAATGCAACAATTACCAAAGAATGCCATAAAATTCACAAAAATTTATAAAATACTAAAAAAAAATTGTTTTTTGTTTGAAATTTTGGGAATTACTGCTTAGGGCAAAAATCACGCGCTCACAATGGGATGCCCTCAGAGGCTTGATGATGTTATGAACGCATATACCTATGCATGGTATGGCATTTATACGCATATGCACGACATTATAATATTAAATGATTCACAGAGTTATTGAGATATACATGTTGAGTCTTTACTCCATGTTTCTCTCATGTCTACTAGTTACTGATTTTCATTCCTTCCATACTCGGTACATTATTTGTTCTGACGTCCCTTTTGCTTGGGGACACTGCGTTTCATGCCCACAGGTCCTGATAGACAGGTCGAGAGTCCTCCAAGTAGGCTATCAGCTCAGCGGAAGGTATTGGTGCGCTCCATTTGCTCCAGAGTTGCTTCTTTGGTCAGCATGATTAGTACATGTATTGATTGGTATGGCGGGACCCTGTCCCGACCTTTATGATATTATGTATTCTTAGAGGCTTGTAGACAGATGTCATGTATACGGATACTTGTATGGCCTTGTCGGCCTATGTTTCGAGTATATACAGAATCATGCCGGCCTTATAGGCCCGTACTGCATATGTATAAGTTTGTATTCCCTCATGCTTTACTCCGGTTCATTTACCTATGTTAGATTGATATGAAAGATACGTTATATTGGTACTCGGTTGAGTAAGGTACCAGGTGCCCGCCGCGACCCATCGGTTTGGGTCGTGACATAACTAACTCAACAGGTTGAGCATTCTGTTGAGATGATAAGGACCATCATCTTCTATGTAGAGAATCTCCCTCATCACTAGCTTCTCCATCATCGTCAATCATCATGGTGTCTATGGTCGGCCCAGGCGGAGGGATCGTCACCACGACTTCCGGAGACGACCTGGGGGCGGCATTCTTTGTCGTCTTATTATTTCCCCCGGTCGCGGAGGAACACTTTCTTTTTGGTTGCTCCGGCCAGGGACTCCATGAAGAAATACTTTTACCCGAAGCAGGCCTGGAGACACCTTTTCGAGTAAGCGCCTCCTGAAGCAGCATCGCTGCATCGGTAGGATCAGCCAAAAAATCCTCCTTGGGGATGACAACTAAGCCCGGGGTTAGACCTGAATTCAGAAAAAGGGAGAAAGGATCAATCAATTTCCTCACGTAAAAAGCAGAAACGAGATGAGTCTAAGTTACTATGATTTTTAGCCTTCCACCTGTATTTGAGAGTCAGTTCTTTCCACGTGTGGGTTTCAGGCGTAGTGACATCCAAGATTTTCTGGACCCACTGGTCCAAGCCTTCAACCCTAGGTGGAACCCATCGAGTTGTTGAAATAAGCGAAGGAAGGAGGATCAATACAGATATCGAAAAATTTCTAATGAAAGAAATATTAAACAAGGAGCTTACGAGTGCGGTTTCATGATTCCGGAAAGGATGAAGTTGCCAGAATGATATCATTAGTGGCAACTGCAATGAACCGTTCCATCCACCCACGGTCGTTGTCATCATCCATGCTAGATAATAGAGCATGCTGTCCGCGTTTGTTGAAGTTATCATTCCCCCCCGCGGAAAATTTCGGGGGAATAGAGATTCATCACATGAGCCAAGGATAGCTCCTCTCCAGTCTCTTGGCACAAACGCCGAAGACAAGCAATCGTCCTCCACACCGAAGGACTTATTTGTGCCAAACACACCTGGTAGCGGAGGCAGAACTCTGCAATAACGGAGTTAGGATCTCTACTCAATTAAAACACTCCAAAAGTAAAGGGATGTGTGTAAAAGTATGTAAAACCCTCCTTGGGTATGGTTACTCGCTCTCTTAGATCAGGAGCAATAATGTCCAAATCTTGGCAGCGGCAATCTTCTTTCATAGCAGAAATACTGGAAGGACGGATGGAAGAAGGGTATCTGCCAATGACCCACGTGCAAGAGTTAGCAGAATGAAACTTCTCTTCGAAATCCTTAGTAGTAACTCTTTGGAACAATGGTGCTCACCGTAGGAGGAGCGGAATCATCATCTTTGTCCTTGCTCTTTGAAGAACTAGGTTTTCTTGAAAAGGAGGCCATTTTTTATCAAGAGCAAGAGTTTTTTTTTTCTCAAAGAAGCTAGGAAGCTAAAGAAAGGTTAAAGTCAGAAGATGAGTTGGGTAAAGAGAGTCTAAGAAAATTTAGAGTGTTATGAAGTATAATGAAGTTGATGCGTGTAAGCGAAGGTATAGACGACTAAATTCGTGGCCGTAATTGCCTCGATATTCGGTAAAAATTATGTTAAATCATGGGATGACACGTGTTCGGAATATTAAATGCGGAGAGACGTGCGTCTAATCAACCGTCAGGAGCTTTTTAGAAGGAATCATAGTAATTCCCGCAAAAAAGAGTGTTTCTACCAACTTTCCGGTGACACAAAGTTATGTCACCGGAAAGCAGGGGGACTATCTGTATAGAGTAAAACATGCTATGCTAAGTGGCCGTTTGAGAGAGTGACACGTGGAGCCTACGACGGGGGATAGTTAAAACCGAAGGCAATTGTCCCATTTGTTAACAGAAGGAATGACACTCGTAAAGATGCAATAAATACCCTCCGCCCGATAGTATTAAATGGAGAATATTCCAAAACACTTAATACACTGCCCATTACAAAAGAATATGGCATTTATGACTGCCCTTACATATCCTTCAATGGCCCTCAAAATTGGCATTGAAGAGGGGTTTGATCCTAGGACCTTATTCCCTAGGTGTAGCTATAAATAGTGAGCTCTATTATCATTGTAAAGGGACGAATTTTCTGGCAAACTTATGATATAACCTATTCAAAGCTCTATACAATTTTATCTTCTTACTTTTTGGTTTCATTATTGCTGTGCCCAGAAGTTTCGCTCCCGGAATTACTATTTCTGCTATTTCATCTTCATATCAAGGTTAAGTGTTATATCTTTCTTCAATTCCTTTATTATTTTAGGATCGAATTAATTCATTTGTTTAGAAACCATGTATAAATTCAATTGTACTGTTTTATGGGTAAACAATTTATATAGTGAAAGATTGAGGATATTCGCCCCCCCCCCCACCCCAACAATTAAGGTACTTCCTCTTTTTTTCCCCTTTTATACATTGGTTAAAAAGGTTTTTTTTTTTTTTGTGACGGCCGGGATTAACATGATCATGGCTAATTAGCCTTCCCAATCAGTTAAATTAAATGATCCAATATGCAAAACTATTTTAAAAAGCTAATCCAACGCCCTAAAACTGAGCCCACCAAAAAAAAAAACAAAAAAAAACTAGCCGTTACAAAAGCCAGAAGCGTCCATAGCTCACCGGTTCATCCTACCTTCCCAATCAGTTAAATTAAACGGTGCGATTTGCAAAACTATTTTAAAAAGCTAATCCAACCCCCTAAAACCAAGCCCACCACCGAAAAAAAAAAGAAAAAAAGAAATAGCCGTTACCAAAGGCAGAAGCGTCTAAAGCTCACCGGTTCATCTTTTTTCTCCATTCCCTGTGACCACTTTAATGCTACAAGCAGAAAAAATACCCTAGCAAATCCGCAATACAACAAAAACCCTAACTCCGATCAACTTTTTCAGCAACAATCTTTCGATGGATTCAAACGGCAAATCCATTAGACTTACGCCTAAAAAATGCTCCAAAAATTCAGAGAATTTGAACCCCAATGTGGAACAACACAGTCCTTATCTGCCCAAATCTTCTAAATCACCATCAATGGCGAAATCAGCGAAAAAACCCCAAAATTCAGTATCCAGAAACCCTAACGCAAATCAATTGGTTTCGCCTTTTCCCAAAAACAAAATTCGCCAAAGGAAGTTTGTGATCGCAAAGAAGAACAAGTGTAATAGTGATAATTTGAACCCGTCAGTTGCTATTTGTAAGTGTAATAAGGCGGGTGGTGGTGAGAAAAAGAAGTGCCTTTGTGTTGCTTATGAGAGCCTCAGGGCTTCTCAAGAAGAGTTTTTCAAGAATCGCGGTGGAAATGAGCACGAAGAAAGTGAAATCAAGAAGTTGGATAATGTAAATAGCGCTGAAATTGGCAATGGAGAAGGAATGAGTAACCAGTCATTGACTCAAAACATTGAGACTGTTGAATTGGGTGATCGTTGTGTGGCTGATGAAATGGCGGAAAGGGCAAACGAGGATGTGGGTTCGGGTGAAATGGGTGGTGGAACTATAAAGAGGAGGAGGGAGAGGTTGTTGGAAGAAGCAAGACAAAGTGTATCTGAATCAGGAAAAGTGATGCATTTAGTTAAGGCTTTTGAGAAGCTTCTTTCGATACCAAAAACAAAGGAGTGTGAAGGGGAAAAGGAAACAGAAGATTCTGGAAAGGGACAAAAAAGGGCATTGCCTGGCTTACAACCTCCTAAGGTTCCTGCGACAGAGATGTCTCCTTCTTCGTTTTGTCCATCGGATTTTTTCCTCACCTCTGAGAGTTTAGGCTTGGATTCGCGTCGTGCCTCCTCATTGGATAGCAGCCACGGAAGGTTAGTACTTGAAACTTCAAGTTAGTTGTCAACTGATTACAACCCTCTTCCTTTAACTGAGCTTGTATTTAGTGGATTTATATAACTGATCCTTATTAGTTTAGGATTGAGATGTAACTTTTGCTTGTTGGTTGTGCATTTATTCCTCATTTGAGTGCTGGAAATAGATCATTTTTTTTTCTTTTCATAGCTTCAGTATTTCAAGCAGGACTTCAGGTGGTGGTCGAAGGAGCAGACACAATGTAAGGATATTCTTATTATCAATCATTGTTAGATGGAGAGGTAATCATGTTGATCTCTATACTCTTATTTTCATTCTTAATGCTGCAGAGCGCTGAATCATCAGGCACATTTACTAGAAAAAATGGGAAGAGAAGGCAGCTCAAAGCAACCTCACAAAAGCCGTTCAAACTTAGAACTGAGGTTCGTGAGTTGTGTGTTTGCTTGATCTAATCTTGGTTAATTGATTGCTTCTTGTGCAACTATGACCAAATATTCAGTTGCAATATAATTGGTTGACATGTGCTGGCTGCTACCGCAAATAGTAATATACACAGAGTGGACACTGAAAGATGGACCGAATCCTATTTTGCTAAAAGAAAATCAGAATGTTGGGGTTTAAATCTATATATGTGATAACAATAAGTTGAGATTAATTTTTAGTCATGTTAGTACGTTTACTTTAGGTCCAATTTTGTCTAGGAGTTTTTTGGTCTTGTTAGAGATTTATATGCTAGTAGAAAATGTAGTGAATTTCTAGTGTTAGAGAAACTAATTATTGAGTATAATATTGGAAGGAGATGGGCTTAAATGGAGTGACATGGCTGTTGAGGATTCATAGAGCTGACACCCACTTGCTTGGGGTTGAGTCATAGTAGTTGTTGAAATCCCTCTCTTGATATATGTAATGGTCATTGTTCCCTGATCACTAATAGTGGGACCTATTCTTTGATCCACTAGTTAATTGTGTCCCTTCAGCTTTGAGATGCATCAGCATCTCCTTTTTCAGTTTAGGATGTCATGTCGAATCCAATTAACCGTTTACCAGTTTACTTAAGGAGTTGCTTAGATTGGCTATTGCTGCAGGAAAGGGGAAAATGTAAGGAGGAAGAATTTTTAGAGAAGGTGCAACAAATGGCGGAGGAAGAGGAGAAACAGCGGATACCAATTGCACAAGGCCTTCCATGGACAACAGATGAGCCAGAGGTAGCGTAAGCTTTTCGCTATTGTCATTTCCAACCATTAAGGACTTGCAATGTGAATGGATTGATGTAAAACTTATCTTGTTTAACTACGCCGGAAACTTAAAAGGGAATGCATCTTGTTGATCTCATATTTTGGAGACTGGACTCTTTTGAACCAAAATCAAAGAGAAATTAAAGCAAAATGTTATTGAAGTTCATGTTATTACCTCTCTCACTATGCACAAATCTTTTGCACTTGGGATTATACTTAAGCCTGTTACGAAAAGAAAACTGAATTACTTCGTTTTCAACTTTTCAGTGTTTGCCAAAGCCTCCTGTAAAAGAGTGCACAAGGCCTGTTGATCTGGTGCTGCACAGTGACATTAGGGCAGTTGAACGTGCTGAGTTTGACCATCAGGTAAACTTTGTTTATTCTTTATTGACTTCGGTCATGCATTAACCTAAATTAATTTCTCTCAATGAAAGGGCAGCTTTAATTTCGTATAAAATGCTGCCATGAGCATCTGATTTTTTTTTTCTCATCGAGAATATTTCATATGAAACATGTAAATGTTATGTATGTCCTTGTAAAGAGATTCTCGAAGCAAGTGCTCCAATAAGAGGATTGAGGACCCCAGCAAATTTCTTCAAGTGAAAGTGCTAGTTTTAAAATCCTGTTCGATGTTATGTTTCATTAGGAAAGCATGTGAAATGCTTGCATGACTCTTTCATTACTCATATAGAGGACAGGACCTAGGCAGGCACTTCTGGCCCTAAATGGCTGTCTTTGCATGACTCTTCATTACTTGTTTAGAGGCACAGTACCTTATGTTCGTGGTTTCTCCATGGTTGCATCAGGTGGCAGATAAATTGAGCTTTATTGAACAATACAAGATGGAAAGAGAGAGACTACAGAAGGTAAGCCAAGCAAATATTCTGGGATGAAATTACGTATATGTATTTTTGCACTTACATTCTTGTTATCTTGTTGTTTGATTACTTTCTCTAGATGGCCGAGGAAGAAGAAATTAGGAGGCTGAGAAAGGAACTTGTTCCAAAAGCTCAACCAATGCCCTACTTTGACAGACCTTTCATTCCTAGAAGGTAATCAGTTTCCAACTTAACTTTATGGTACCTTACAAAATGTTGCTTCTAATAAGAATATACAAGCCTTAGTTAAGCATTACTTCTAAATAGGAAATTTGAAGGAAAAAGCAGCAGCTCTCTTATGTGAAAGACTGTTATACAGAGTCTTTTCTTTTGGTGTATGGATAAGGAGATGGAAGATCTGAATCAACTTTTTGATATTTTTGGATTCTGTGAATTTGATGTGGATGCCGACCCCAACTTGTTTGGGACTGAGGCAAAGTTGTTTTTGTTTCCCTTTTGTGTACACTTGTTGTACCTCTTTGTACCCATTAGAGAAACTTTACTTTATATAAACGTTAGTTGAAGTATAGTTCATCGATTCAATCTTTCTTGATGAGAGTTTTCTATTATGAGAAGACTAGTAGCATCGATAAGAGGCTAAATCAATAGCTGAAACCTTTTTTCAGGTAGGTTAGGCTTGGAGTCGGAAGTCCTATTCTTCCCAACCGAATATAGAACCTTACCAAGGATAGGGACCAGACTATAGAACCTATTTAAAAAGAATTCAGTGCTTTTTTCAATTCACATCTATGAGCAAGGATTCCTCTATCTCTTGCTCACTTGATCGGACTCTGATAGCTTAGGGAAGAATGATGGGTCGCTAACGAGGCCCCTAAATGACCCTTCGTGATTGGACCCTTCATGAAAGCATGATGCTTTGTGCACCGGGCTGCCCTTTACTTTATCCACACAAAAAAGAAAAAGAAAGAAAGAAGATGCTAATATACTTACGTCACCTAAGGGTTAATGTATGATTAGCTGTAAGTTGCACCATAAAGGAATCCGTGAGTTGGGAAGAATCCTCATTGGAAATGGTCATAAACCATTTAAGATTTCTTCTTTATATATGTCACTACCCCAGTTCGCCCTCCGTGAACTATCGTGACGGCACCTAGTCTCTACGACTAGGTAAACCTAACAATTTGCGGAAAAAGGAAACAACAGATAAAATCTAGTAGACATTGCAGATAAACATAATGAAAACGTTTAAGATGCCGCTCGGCATATACAAATACGCACTCTCAACTGAATGATCTCCCAAAACTCGGAATCTCATGAAATCACAAGCTATGGATACTACATAGTGTTCTAACTCCAGACTGTCTAAATCAAAAGAAACATAGAAGGGCTATAACTACAAGAGAGAATGGAAAGGGACTCCTCGGTCTGCGGATGCGGCAGATATACCTCGAAGTCTAACATAGGTCAGGGCCCTACCGGTCATATACATATATACATAAAGAAATGAAACAGTATGAAGTAACACAAGATAATAAGAATAACAACAAATACAACGGAGAGAAAATCACAGAAAGAACGTAACTCCACACAGAGATAGCAACCAGGGATCTACCAGGATATGCCGTCCTGTAGTCCCCAACAATAAATATTCAGTGGATCTCCCGGGTGTCGTCCTGTAGTCCAACTCGTAATGCGCAGGGGATCTACCCGAATACCAATCCGTAGTCCCAAATGTAAATACTAGTACTGGGGGAATCTACCGGGTGCAGTCCCGTAGTTTCAATATAAATGTGCAGGGGGATCTACCGGAATACCAATCCGTAGTCCCAAATAAACAGGCAAGGGGGATCTACCGGGATATCGCCCGTAGTCCCAAAGTAACCACACAGCAGCAACATGAAAAATATTCAACTCAATCCAATTTCATACCAAGGTAAAACAGGTATTTCTAACCTAGGATGCTGCACAGAATTCAAATAAAGCAGTTTGAGCAAGTAAAGCAATTAAGTCACTTAGACATGCTTCCCTAAGCTAACAGCAGGCTTAAATTGCAAGTAGTATAAATAGGGGAAAAAACATAGTTATAGTTACTTAATGAAAACAGGATTTTCAACAATTAGCACATGTACGCACTCGTCACCTCACGTACAAGGCATTTCATATATATACCAAATCCTAAGGGGAGTTCCCCCACACAAGGTTAGGCAAACCTCGAACCAGCTCAATCAACTCGAAATCACGTTCTTGCCACGAGTACCCGACTCCAAATGGCCCAAATCTATTCAAATAAATTGCACAATGTAAATATAACTTCAAGTAACTAATTCCACTAATTAATTCGAAGCTAACACGCAAAATTAGGAAAATCGCCCAAAAAGTCCCTCGGGCCCACGTCTCGGAATCGGATAAAATTCGCAAAACTAGAATCCTCGCACTCTCACGAGTTCATACATACCAAATAAACGAAAATCGGACCACAAACAACCCCTCAAATTCCCAATTCCAAGTCTCCAATTTCAAACCCTAAACCCCCAAATTTAACCCTTATTTTCCATAAATTTCTTGCCAAATTAGTAGATAAATACCGTAATAACGAGTTTGGGTTCAAAAAACCTTACCTCCTCGAAACTCCCTCGAATTCTCTCTCCAAAATGGTGAAGGAATGGGCAAAAATCACGATTGAAACCTTATATAGGTTCTGGCCCAGGGTTTCCGCACATGCGACCATTTTCTCGCTCCTGCGGTCCCAGGTGCGCGTCTGCGAAATTCCACTTAAAGCACTGGGCCGCACCTGCGCTTCTTTTACCGCACCTGCGGTCTCGCAGGTGCGCTCAACCTCTCACACCTGCGGATCCTGGTCTCCAAGCGCCTGGCCGCATCTGCAGCTCCTCCATCGCTTTTGCGATCACGTACCTGCGGTCCCCAAACCGCAGGTGCGGTTATGACAGAACTTCAGCAGCTGAAGGTGCTTCCAAATCTCCTAAATTCTTCCGTCAACCTTCCGAAATCATCCCTAGGCCCCCGGGACCTCAACCAAAAATACGAACAAGTCATATACCACTATTCAAACTTGTACCAATCTTCAGAACACTCAAAACAACATCGAATCATCAAAACACCCTCGGATTCAAGTCTACAGATTCCAAAACTTCCAATTTCCGCTTTTGATCAAAAAGTCTATCAAACCTCGCCTGAATGACCTAAAATTTTGCACACACGTCCCAAATAACACGACGGACCTACTCCAACTTCCGGAATTCCATTCCGACCCCGATATCAAAATCTCACTATCGAACCGGAAACTTCAAAAATTCGACTTTCGGCATTTCAAGCCTAATTAAGCTACGGACCTCCAAAATACAATCTGAATACGCCCCTAAGCCCGAAATCACCCAACGGAGCTAACGGAACCAACAGAATTCCATTCCGAGGTCGTCTTCACACTGCTCCGACTACGGTCCAAATTCTAAAGCTTAAACTTTCATTTAGGGACTAAGTGTCCCAAAACACTCCGAAACTCAAAACGAATCCTCCCGACAACTCACAATAGCAGAAACAAACACGGGGAATGCAGTTAATTGGGGAACGGGGCGTTAATTCTTAAAACAACCGGCCGGATCGTTACATCCTCCCCCTTTTAAAACATTCGTTCGTCCTTGAACGAGCGTAGAGACATACCTGAAGTGGTGAAAAGATGAGGGTAACGGCTGCGCATATCCTACTCGGTCTCCCAAGTCTCCTCCTCGACCGACTGACCCCGCCACTGAACCTTCACTAATGCAATGTTCTTTGACCATAGCTTCCGAACCTGCCAGTCCAATATCGCCACTGGCTCCTCAATGTAAGATAGATCCTTGTCCAACTGGATTGAATTGAAATCAACACGTGCGACGGATCACCGTGATACCTCCGGAGCATCGAAACATGAAACACCGGATGAACTCTTGCCAAGTTGGGAGGTAAGGCAAGCTCATAAGCAACCTCCCCAACACGCCGCAATATCTCAAAAGGACCAATAAACCTCGGACTCAATTTTCCCTTCTCCCCAAATCTCATAACGCCCTTTATAGGTGAAACCCGAAGCAAGACCTGCTCTTCAACCATGTAGGAAACATCACGAACCTTCCGGTCCGCATAACTCTTCTGTCTGGACTGGGCTATACGGAGTCTATCCTGAATCACCTTAACTTTCTCCAAAGCATCTTGTACCAAGTCTGTGCCCAATAATCTAGCCTCGTCTGGCTCGAACCAACCCACCGGGGACCTACACCGCCTACCATACAAGGCCTCATACGGTGCCATCTGAGTGCTAGACTGATAGCTGTTGTTGTAGGCAAACTCAGCCAGTGGCAAGAACTGATCCCAAGAACCTCCAAACTCCATCACACACGCACGGAGCATATCCTCAAGAATCTGAATAGTGCGTCGGACTGTTCGTCCGTCTGAGGGTGAAATGCTGTGCTCAACTCCACTCGAGTGCCCAACTCATGCTGTACGACCCTCCAGAATCGTGATGTGAACTGAGTACCTCTATCTGAAATAATGAAAACTGGAATACCATGCAGACGGACAATCTCCGGATATAAATCTCCGCCAACCGCTCTGAAGAATAGGTGGTACACATAGGAATGAAGTGCGCGGACTTGGTCAGCCGATCCACAATCACCCAAATGGCATCGAACTTCCTCAAAGTCCGTGGGAGCCCTACTACGAAGTCCATGGTGATCCGCTCCCACTTCCACTCCGGAATCTCTATCTGCTGAAGCAACCCACCCGGCCTCTGGTGCTCATACTTTACCTGTTGACAATTGAGGCACCGAGCTACAAACTAAACTATATCCTTTCTTCATCCGCCTCTACCAATAATGCTGTCTCAAATCCTGGTACATTTTCGCGGCACCCGGATGGATGGAATATCGCGAACTATAGGCATCCTCTAGAATCAACTCTCGAAGCCCATCAACATTGGGTACACAAATCCGACCCTGCATCCCCAATACCCCATCATCACCAATGGTAACATCTCTGGCATCACCATGTAGAACCTTGTCCTTGAGGACCCCGTCATCACCAATGGTAACATCTCTGGCATCACCACGTCATCACCAATGGTAACATCTCTGGCATCACCATGTAGAACCTTGTCCTTGAGGACAAGTAAATGAGGGTCATCAAATTGACGCTCCCGGATACGATCAAACAAGGAAGACCGA